GTTTCATGTATTGCCATTATGGTGCTACTGGAAGTTTGATTGGATGAAAAAAATGCCATGAGCTACAGTCCTCTTCCATGACTTACCCTCACCAGTTTCAGTAATAGCTTATAACACTAGTGCCAGTTACGTTATTTGGTAATGCTTGTTACAGTATTTGTATATTTGCAATTCGGTTTTGCTCAATAATATGCGTGTAAACTGCATATCTGAAATAAATGTCTAAATACTGACTTCTAGTGGTCTCTTGTTTAATGTGCTGATCAGCCTTATGAAAATGTGTATGTTCCCTGGGAGCCTTCTTTCCTGTAAGGTGCTGATTGCCCTTATCTATTGCTGCTTCTAAATATTTTTATTTGATTAGGTGTGCCTTGGAAGTTGAGTGTTCTGATTCTTGCAATTTAAGATCTAAAGTCAGTTGCTTTTTGTACAAGATTTTGGCCTTCTCCAAGATGAAAAGAAATCTGAGCTGCCTCTCTGGCAGGCAGGACAGTAAATGGTTTTGTGAGAGGGATGCATTTCTGGCAGGAGCTCTTTAAACAAAACTGCACCATTTTGGCACAAGTCAGATCGCTGACTAAAACTGTTTTCTCTATCTGAAGTGATGCTCTTCTCAGTTCACATGGCCTGCAGAGAGAGTTCTTTCTGAAACACCACAGATTGACCAGAGTTTCTGGGTGACACCTGGTGGTTTTTGCTGAGCTGAACTGACTGTTCCTTAGGCTCATTTTCTCACCTGCATTGTGAGAGGCTGGGGAAGTGAGAAACTAAAACTGATGGAGATGCTCTGCAGAAGCCCAAGCTGAATAGCCTCATCCCAAACCCATATACAAGTTACACTTTTGTCAGATGGAAAGAGCTATTTCAGCAAGTTTAATTCTACCTCTTCATTTCTCAGGACCTCAGTTTTGCTGTGCAGGTAATTAGAAATACAGTTTACTCTTGTAAATAAATTTTATCAAATAATACCATTATTTTCAGTCACTCCAAAATCATCTGATAATTTTATACCTCACTTTTAAGAGGCAACATTAAAAAGCAGCTAAGTTTTTTCTGGAGATAAGATTTTAGCAGAAAACTGTTTTGCTGATTAATTTTGTAACATTTTTTAATTCAGAGGTAATATTTCATATATGAGACAGTCTTAACAGCACCCATAAATTTAATGCAGCGCCAAATTTTGAGTCTATAAAAAAGTGAAATACACACTTCCATTAATACACTAATGCAGAAGATAGTTCTCTTATTTACAGATCTACTGTAAGAATTCAATACATTTCTTTTTCACTGAAATAAATTTCTGGAAATATCAAGTTTACATTTTTTTCAGAAATTTTTTTCATGATTCATGGCAAATTTGACTAATTTGCGTTGGGTTGTGGATCTTGAAGAAATTTATTTTGCTATCTGTTGTATCTGAGACTATTTGAGATAGTTACAACATTAAAGCCATCATGAAAGCTTTCCTCATGATGTTTGCATGTCTTTTTTGTAATGAAGCATCCAGGCTTGTACATCCATCCTTTAATTCAATCAGTGTCACAAAGTTTTGCAGTTATGAGCTAATTACTTTTTACTGTTGCATAAAATTTTTTTGACTGACTTGCATCTCTTCCAGTCATTCAGATTGATTTTTTAAATAGTTGCCTACTTAGTAATACCACCACTCTAATAGATAATAATGCATTTTAAAGATAATCAAGCAGAAGGTTGAAAAATACTAGAATTAACTTAAAACCCTTTAATATTCTAATTCAGGTGAAATTGTGGTTGTCTTGAACAGAAACTTTGGAATTATTTTTATTTAGAATCACTTTCTGAAACGATGAAGATCTGAAGAGCAGAATTACTACCTTGACTGCTCCTGCCAGTCCCAAAGGTAACACACTGGTCATCCCTGAAGGAATAATCTGCTGTTGCTGAGAGAGTAAAATGGTTTCCCCGTGATCATTGAAGAACCCCCAGGCCTGATGGTGGTGAGAAGCACAGTCGCAGACTGGTGACAATGTCTTTGTTACCTGCAGTCTCAAAGGGGAGGAGAAACAGACAAAAGTGGCTATGAGATACTTGGTAATCAGAGCTGGTCTGGAGGAAAAATGAGTTTGAGTCACAGCCTCATGGGTGACACTGAATTTCTGTGCTGAACACAACCCCAAGTCTTGGCAGATGGCTCTGGAGATGAATCTGCTGCTGCACCTCACTCGTGTGCCAGGTCAGGAAACTGAGCATCTTCGAGCTGTGACTGTCTCAGCACCTGCCTGCACACAGGGACCAGCAGGAACCACTGTGGAGGGGGGAAAACCCAGCAAGCTGCCAGGTACAGCAGGTACAGCTCTCCTTGCACCATCCTGGCGAGCTGGCTTTATGAAGGGACTATTTTAGATTCCATCTCAACAATAAGGGCATTAAAATTCCCAACAGCCTAAATTACACTGGTTGTGCACCAGACCCGTGCTGATGGGGTTGCCTTTACTCACAGGCTGCATTCTCAAGACCTTTCTGAGCACAGCATTGTGTGAGGGGCACTTAATCCCCTTATAATCCCTCTTGTTTACAAGGAAAATCACTTTCATGTTGCTGACTGTGTTTACAAGGGTGGCATTTAGCAAGCAGCAACTGAGAAGTAGCACAGATTTGCAAGAAAATGGCACTGCCACAGCTGCCACAACTGAAACGTGTTACATCCTCTAGCGGGGGGCCCGGGCAGGCGCCCAGGGAAGGAGCGAGGACTCAGGGGTCGGTGATAATTTGTGCCCCTCAGTCAGCCGGGGTGAGCCCCTGCTCCAGCTGCCGGTCCTCACAGCTGCTGAGCAGAGTTACACTGTCTTGGGTCATAAATTGGGATCTACAGCAGGAAGAATCTTTGTTCCCTGCTGTTAAAAATTTTGTTTATTGTAATGAACAAGTCTTAAGTCTTCTGAAAGGCCTGGTCACCACAGGAGTAGCCCTTCATTTGTGCAACCAGGTTCTGTAAAGCAGAGCAGGTTTTGATGAGTGGAAATACATCCCACATAAGGACAAGCAGTGTGGTTTGCCAGTAACTGGGCTCTCACCATTGCCCAGGGAGAGTGGGAAGAGTGGTGGCCCTGTGGTACACTGACTTTTTGGCCAGGGAAGCAACACTGCCATGCTCATACTCTGCTTCTTGGTAACACCTGTCAGCCTGGAGCTGGCTTCTTGAAAAACATCAAAAATACTTTGAAAGGACCAAAGTAGCAACAGTGTGACCCCTTGTTCTCCTGCTATTCCCTGGCTGCTGTCTGCATTTTTAGTGGCTGCAGAAAGAATCTTGCTATCACCTCTAGTGTGAAAACCAGGGATGTGTGTCCAGGAGCAGCTGGGTCTCTGCAGGCCTGCTCAGCTCGGCTCTACAGGAGACATCCTCTGTGTGTGTGACTGGCTGCATTATTGCCACTGCAGGGTCACATTCAGTCCCCTGCTCCCATCACCTGCAGAACCAGTGCTCCTCCTGCTTTTGTCCTGCTGTTGGGTTTGGTTGGTTTGTTTTTGCAGAGCTGGATGTTAACACTGAGTGGATGAGTGACAAGCCAAGAACAGAACATCATGCTGGGATTGGGGTCTCCCTACCACAAAGCCAGGTAAGACATTTGGGGTGCTCCTGCTCCCCTCTTTTGCCTACTGTGTTGTTTCTGGGTGCTGGGTCCACACTGAGGCCATGCACTGCAGTGCTGAAGTGGCAGCTACAGTCCTACCTTTGCCTGACAGAGCAGCCAAAGCTGCAGAAGAGATTGTAATTATGGAGGGCAGAGGGAAACAAAAAAGCAGCCTAAGTAAAGACCAAGCACAGAGCAGACACAAGATTTAAAATATGGGAGTGTTCAAAAATAGGAGGGGAAAATTAGACCAGGAGTGTCAGGGAAAGACAAGCTCCTGACCCAGCAGTGAGGAAAGCAGCAATTCAGCTCTGTGGCTTCTCCTGCTGACCATTACACAGACAGGACACAAAACATGTTTGGCAGCAGGTCCCGTGATGAGCGAGGAGGTACTTTTGGTCTGCAGCTGCTCCAGTGCCACACGTGGGACACTGTGGCTGCCTCTGTGCAGAGGCCACTCAGCCTCACCTGGCCAAGGACATTGACAGGTGACCCCACCTTTGCTGTCCAGCTGCAGCTGTTGGGGGCTGCAGAGATTTCTCCCGCAGTTTCCCAGACTAAGGCAAGAGGAACAGATTCAGGCAGCCCTTATCTGTCAAACAAATGGTGAAATCCACACCTGAAGATATTCCGTTCTGTACCCCCTGCCCCAAAATGCCTTCCAGTGCTCTAATGCTGCCCCTTCAGTTTTGAAGATTGGTGTCCTTGGCTTGAGCTGTTCAGGCTGAATTGGCAATACAGTCCCTTACATGTCTTTGATTCAATTTTTCTCTAAGTTCTGTGTCTTTAGAAATTGTTCTGCCTGTCAGGCCCTCCCAAATGAGGTCTAAAAAAGTAGCCAATCTCAATGAAACCTGAATGGGGCAGGACCATCATCAAAATGACTGCAGACAATGCTGCTGTTTTATATCCTCAACCAGCCAAAGTTTAGGGTCTGCCTTAATCGGAGGAGATCGCACACACACAAAGTGAAAATCCATTAATTGCTGAATATCAGTTGTACTGATGATGCTTTAGTAATTACAACCCTCATTCTTGGCACTCCAAGCTGAAACTCATAATCCACATGTCAGAATTATAAGCCTAAACTGTACTGAACCAGAAAAAAAGCCGTAATTGTACTTTTCAAGAAAAAAACTTTATTAATTAATATACACCTGAGAAAAATTTTCATTAGAACAACATTCTTAATGATATTTCTGCAGTGCTAAGTGAATCTGATACACATTTATATCACCTGTGCAAAGAAGGTATTGGGGTATCTGAAAAAATGAAAAGCTTCACCTTTGAAGGAGCTTTTTCAGAATCAAATATAAAACATAAGCAATGCCAGAAATTAAAAAAAAAGATCATACTGGTCCAAAAAAATTGTTTTACTTTTATAAATATATCTGTAAACAGAAATAGCTGGTATTTTAAATAATCTGATTACAAAACTCAAAAGTTAAATATTTCTATTGTGAAGTGCAGCCATTTGTTCTTCTGTCACTGCCTAAAAAAAGTCAGAAAACCAGACATACTCCTGCACACACAGGAAAAAAGTTCTCTGTGCACTAAAAATTACTCACTTGTTAAAAAATACCCATCCATTTAATAACTGTTTCCATGACAATATATAGTTCATTCACCTTTTTTGTTAAGATGTATTGAGCCAAAATATTTAAATCTGTTTTGTACAGGCCAGGAATAGTGAACAAACAGATGTCCCACGGGAGTTTTCTGAAAAATGTTAATACTTTTTGTAAACTCATTTTAGCAAAGTTACTGCTATCTGACCCATCTGTCTTGAAGTCACTTCTTTATCACAAGAACACAGAACTCACAAAATGATGTAAAAAGTGATGACTAAACGTGTACCTACTGTACCATGAAGGTATTTCATACTGCATGTATAATGTAAAATATATTTTTCTGAGTCTAAATAAAATCAGTATGCCAAATGAAATTAACTCTGTTACTGAACACAGATGGGCATAAAATTATATAGATGTATACAACTACAAGAAGAAAAGAACAGCAAATTTTAAATGTGCATATGCTGTCAAAACAAGATACAATTCCAGCAGGTAAAGACCCACTTGAACCCAGGCAAGTCTGCAGAGTTCAATCATTCATCTTCTAACATGAACTATATGCATGCAGACAATAAACTTTAACTTCTCAAAGTTCATAAACCTTTTTAAGGCTCTCAAGATGTTCCAATGAGTACTGATCACTCTGGCTTTCTGAAAGTACGTCAAATAATTGCTGCACCTCTTCTTTTTCCTTTTTGCTAAGAAGGGCCAGCACCACCTGAAAAAAAACCCAACAAATTATTTTATAATCAGCACAAGTTGACTGATAATCATAATATTTGACAGAGATACAAAAGTCAGGATGTTTTTTCCTTTTAAGATATGAAAATTTCCTTTAGATTTCTGTGCAATTTAAATACACATTCAATCAGTCTAGGTTCTTACCTTAAATCTTTCTGCTTTGCTCAAGTAGAAAAGGTGCTGATATGCAAGGCCAGGATCTTTTCCAGCTATGTAATGTTCCAATGACTGGATAAAAATCAGAAGGATTTCTCCTTCAAGTTTGTTACTTAGCAGCACCGGCAATGTTTTTGGATCAGTAATAGTTAAAAGATCTGCACAAGCAGCTTTATCCTTATTGGCATTCACTGCATTTATGATCTGACCAAAGTCATAAGCATTGGATGGTTCCCAAACACGGAGTTTCTCCGAGGACCTCTGTGGCACTCGCTTTGGAACAGCCTCCTCAGCAGGAACATGGTGAGTCTCAGCATCTTCTGATGTAGCCAACTGTCTCTCTTCCTGTTCATCAGCTTCAGTCACCTTCACAAACAAAGTGGCAACAAATCACTTAATGTGAATTACATTGTGGATACAGACATAACGTGAAACTTCACAAACTGCATTTATCCATCATATCACTGGATTAAAGCTGGCAGTCTGCTCTTCATAGAAGAAAAGCATCCATACTCCTCCATGTCCTGCTGCCCCCAAAACAGGAGCTCTCTAATTCACCTTTAAAGGCTCACAGTCAAAAGTGTGTTTGCTACACCTCCTTTTCACTGTTTGGCACTGCACTGTGGAATCAACCCTGGGGAGCACCAGAGGAAGGAGGACTCTACACATGCATTAAATGTGAAGTTCCAGAAGACAGGGACAACTGGAGTCAAGGCAGACACCCATGTTCCATTTCTCTGCTGTGCCTCCAGGCCAGCTCACCAGAGTCTGGAGTCTTGCTTTGGAAAGAGAAGTTCAGCATGGATAAACTGCCTCACTATCCACTTAAACTTCTCCTGAGACTGCAGCCTCTATAAAGTTTCATGAACCAGTCACTAAAAATTAACTATGGAACTATGGGGGCAACTACATTTGCTAAAATCAAGCCATCAAGAGTTGTGAAATTAGTATAATCTGACTAAAACTTACTGAACAGGGTCTCAATGCCACATATTTTGAAAAGTCTGAAGATATTGTACTGCATAGAACAGGGGATTAGTAATTTTTGGAAAATACTGCATTTGGCTTATAGACATTTTGTTCTATTTTTCAACAATCATTAGAATTGAGGGAGAAACCTTGACTGTCTTTTATATAATTACAACTTGATTAACATGGAATCATGATGGTAAATTATTTTTCTAATTTTATTTCTCTTTGCAGTCTGTTTTCATGGAACTACCTTGTACTACAGCAGGTAAAAGAGGAAAGCCTCTCTACAGGGGCAGTTGTAATTATGACAGCAAACATAAATGCTTCCTGCATCACCCCTAGAAAAATTACCAGTGCCAACAACGTAGTTAGCTGGTCTCTGAGCAATGTGGTCACTCCCCAGACCTCCTCTGAACATGTTCCAGGTCCCTCTGTTTGTCACAACTCAGAGCTTAACTAACACTATACCAGCTTATGCCAGTTACATAAAATCCCGTGAGCTTGTGGCAACCTGAAGTACTTCAAGAACATTTTTTTCCCCTGTATTACTAGCTGCAGCTTCCATTATACCACATTCTGAAATTACATTATCAAACTACAGTATCACTATACAGACTGGTAAGTATGTATTTTAAAAATACATTTTTAAATGAAAAGGGGAAAAAGAATTCTTAAACAATCAGCAAAGCAACAATCCAAAAATATCAGATGACTGAGAAAATCCTTTCATCACCTAATTCTACCCAGAACTGTGCAAGCCTAATGTTTTGATCCTGTACATAACATTACATTCTGTGTTTCTTTTGTAAGATCCTACAGATGTTTTACTCTTGCTCTTTAGGGTAGGATTTCATTTTTCAGACCTGTAACTTTAGGACCAGCACAGGAGCAGCCAGCACATCTGCCAAGACCTCTGCCAGCACAGCCCCAGAGGCTGCCCAAGGAGCACAGACTTCAAAACTTCTATTTCACAGCTGCACTCTGTAAAGCATGTATTTCAAAGTTTAGGCAGCTTTTGTTTAAAAGGAGTATATCCCAAGTTTAGTGCCATCTGAATGGACTATTTCCCTTCCTGCTGTAGTTCTGAATATGCTGTGAGCATAGATTTAAGATGGGAAAACAAAAGCTTTAATATTATCTCTTCACATGTGTGGCTTCTGTTGTGTTTGTTTTTAAGAAAATAATAGGTATACCACCTCTTGTATGGTTATTTTCTTCCCTCGTGTTTGCTGACTGACAGCTCCAGCACTGCTGTCAAGGTGAAGCAGTTGGGTTACCTCCTCTAATTCCTTTTGTGCTTCAAGAACATTTGGATCTATTAGAAGTACTTTGTTGAAATCATCAACACTGGCTTGATAATTCTGTAAGTAGAAGAAAATATTTTTCTCATAAGCACATCACTAGAAAAATACATCTGAAGTACCATACTGTCCTTTACAAATAAGAAAGGTAAAAATATTGGGATCTGGACACTAGGTAGACAAAAATAATCTAAATACTGATAATATTTAGATTTTTTTATCATTAGAGGGGAAAAAGGAAATGAGACAGGGTTAACACTGTGACTAAATACTTCCAATTAAATATATAATAAAAATAATTTATTCTCAGAAACCTGTTCCCTATATCAGAGAGCAAATTATTGAAGTTTGCTGCTTTTAAGCATAATTGCTTACAGTGTAACACTGCTTCACAATTAATATCATCTTGAGTCCAGCAAGTTTGCCTACTTGCTTTGTCACTAAGAGAGTTAAATTGAGCTTTGATTAAATATGTATCTAATATTCCTGGGCTTCAATCCAATAGAGCATCTCTTACAGTGAAATTTTGCTCATACTTGAGTTGACTGCGATTATGTTATGACCTCTGGGTAAACAAGATTAGGACAAACACAGTGACAGAGTGGCATTAGGATACAGTTCCTCAATAATCAGTCTTGTAATTTGTTTAATGCTTTTATTTCACATTTTTTCTGTATAATTACTATTTTTTAGTCTAAATGGTCTGGAGAGACAAAGTTAATAGCATCAATTGAGGAAGACTGGAATTATCACATAGGAAAATGAAGACATCTCAAGGGCTGGAGTATCAAAAATAAAGATGAAATGCAGCAGTAAACAGTAAAAGACCAGGCAGATAGTAAAAGACCAACATAATTTATTCTGTGAGTGGTCTAGTATTTCTTCTGTTCCCAAGCAGCATCATAAGGTTACTATTAAATCATGTGTATTATCATGGAAAAAAAGATCTTCATGTACCACCTGAGGTACTTCCTCAGCACCTCAACTATAACACAGGAGCCAGTGTCCAAGTCACTCAAACTCTTTCCCACATTTTGTTCCACACTGGTGCCAATAGTCAAGGGGCAGAGAGGCTGCAGGACATCAGTAGTGGACTGAAGCCCACTAGGCCATGAAGGAAGAGTGAGAGAATGAGAATTATGTATTCCTAATAAAGGAATGCACAAAGGGGCAGGTTCCTTTCATCAGAAATCCACTACTGATTAAGCTAAATAATTTGAATTACAGATGTGAGGATTCACAGTGATAGAGAAATGAGATTCTAGAACAGACATCTGGAAACAGTAACAAGGGTCAGCAACCAACTCTACTGAATTTAAAACCGCAGCCTGCCTGACTGCCCAATAAAAATCATACAACGTGACTGTACCCAGAACAAGAGTGCACTACCAGCTGCAGGAGATGCCATACAGGACCTAATGCATCTCACTAACACTTCTTCCTGATCTTCTCTTAACTACATCTCAGTAAATCTGTAAAAAAAACCCCTTAAATTACTACATTAAATTTCACTGCAGCTTCTGTAGTTAAATATGTGTCTAACTACATACAAATAACACTTCCCACCTTAGCTAAGTCTTTGCCAAACTACATGCCATTAGCTCATACAATTTTTCATTACAGTCATTTGTCAACTTCAGCTCATTTTTGTCATGTTCTCTGGTTTTATCTATCACTTTCATCCCTGAAATGAGCAATAACAAAGGCATTAAAACCAACTACAACAAAACATTTTGGGAGTCCCCAGCTCAGACTGTTCTGAAGGAGTTCATGAACACTATGTTTCAGGTTGTCTTCAATAATACAAAAATAAGGCTTTTTTCTAGGATATGCAAAAAAGCAAAAGTTCCTTCTCCAATTCTCGACCTTCTTCACAAGTGTGTAATACCCTTTTTTCTGTCTGGTAGAATGACTATGTACTCATTTTTACACTGACTTTTTATCAAGTTCAAATAATATAAGGTTAGAGATGATTAATACCAGGTAGCTCAGCACACTTATAGGGAAAAAACATGACACAGAATTAGGACTTTTCACACTTTGAAAATTTCATAGCTACTGCAACAGAGGAACAAATACATCACATTCCCAGGACTTGTATCTGGAATTATAACACAGGATGAGAATAGGCTGGTATGCTGCTAAGCACAAACAGCTTCTCAGGTGATTTGTAAACTGAGACATCATCAGGTAATTTTTTGTTAAGGCATCAAACATAATGGAGGTCTGAGTAAGTGTCCATTCATTTGAAGGACAATGATGAAACTTAGTGGACCTCCAGTCCACTCCTGCAATGTGGAAGACAGCACTTCAGATGCTTGTTTAAAGATACTTCCAAATTTATTACAAAGCAGGTGATGAGAGCTGCCATCATGAGCCTACAGAGCGAGAAGCTGATAATTCAATAGCAAGTAAGAGCTGACAGGCAGAGCAAGGATTGCTGTGGAAGAATTATGGAGTGTAAAGGCTAATTTAACATCACTGAAGATGAGGAACCACTAGAGGGAGGGACAAACAACGATACGGTTCAAGTGATGGAACATGAGATTTGAAGTTACATTCAGGATGGATATGAACAATGTGTCTGCATTTATGATGATCAGGTAAAAGGATACTCTAAAAACTGTACAAAAGAGGAGCACTGTAGAGACACCACCACCGTGCAGATGGAAAGGAAAAGGCTGAGTACTGACACTGCCACAGAATGACAAAGTACAGTACTGACAAAGGGCTGTAATGCATTTGGGGAAGAAAGAGAGAGAAAACTACCATAATTAAAACCCTGGTTTAAAATGATACTTAAATATGAGCAGATGCCAAGACAGCTTGAGATTTTAGTTTGGACAGATGAAAACAGGCTTGGCAAGAATCCATTTGTCATCAGCAAAGTTATAGTAAACACCTTGACAGATAAAACAGACCGGGATACCCAGAAGGAGAATACTAGAACATTAGAACAGATTTGAAACTCGCTTAACCAATCTCCAGTCAATCATTTTTTATTGCAATATTCTTGTATTTTCTCAAATTATTACATCAACATGCAGGTTTTTATGTAGCAAAAATATTTATGTAATGTTTTATGTATGCCTAATGCTCTACAAAGTATTAAATCATCACACTGAGTACTTTGTATTCATCCATTCAGAGCAACTACCTCATTGCCTTTGAAGAGGATAAGCAAGTTTAGAAGTGCTTAAGAATACCTGCCATGTTCTTTTTCCTCACCTGTAATCCTTTGTACGCTAGTGCTCTTCTATAAAAAGCTTTAATATTAGAATCTTCTATCTGAAGAACATGATCACAATCCCGCTTAGCCTCTTCATATTTATACAGTTTCAAGTAACAGAGAGCTCTAACACAGAAAACAGAATATACTGCAATATAAGTAAATTCTACAGCACTCTAGTGCCAACATCTTCTGACTCGTAAATGTTAATTACAATACTTCAAACAGTTCAGTCTCAATGTGATTTTTTTTAAAGTACATAAAACCATTAACTATCAAGAACATCACTGGATGGATTTAGAGAAGGCCAATTCCTGCAATAAAGGTCAAAATTCAAGTATGACTAATGCTTGAAGTTAAGCAGATATGCAAGTATTTTTAAAATGTTAGTACAATATGATAGTTCAGTGGTTAATGTAAATGGATTTTATACAGCCATTCTGGGTAAAAATGTGCTCTGGATTAAATAAACAACACTGCTCTCTGTACCTAATTATTACTTGGAACTCTCCTATTCAAGTACTGGTCTAATCAAATCCTTCTTAGTTTGTAGAAGCTGATAAGATTACAGCATAAAGAATTACACTGCTGAATTAGGTCAACCTTTAAAATAATGCCAATGTATGACTGTGTTCTTGCTTTTATTTTCTCAGAATGCACACATTTTATCTGAATTATTACTCTTCATGTCTGAAATATTGCTACTGCATGTTATTTTTCATTCAAATCATACCACTATTCTTAAAAAATATCTCAAAATGCTTCAAAATGCTATGCTGATTATAACTTATATTGCTTACTCTATTTATATAGAACATTTTAAGATACGTATCAGTGACATTAATACTTGCTCCCCTGGAAAAATGTTTTTACAAGAAATCCGTTTTGTTGTTATAAACTCTTACCAAGTAGGAAAAAAATCCCTTTTCCACAACAGTGAGTGAAGGGATGCAAAATCTCTATTTGAAATGAGAAAATACAACTACTGTTATCCCACAAAACAGCATTAGCTTTTGGATCTTTACCTGTTAGTGTAGACAGTACATTCCTCAGTATTTAACTTCATGCACTCACTGTATTTATTTGCGGCTTTTTCATATTCACCCGTTTTTACAAAATCATTCCCTTCATTTTTCAACCTCTTGAACTTTTCCATAGCTTCCTCACCTACAACAGAAAAGGATCACAGTGTTACATAAGGTCAGTTTATTAAGGGTGGCTGAATGATCTATGCAGACTAAGGATTAATGCCTGGCCTCTGTCACTCTGCAGTTGGCCATTCCTATCCCAAGCCTCCCCTACTGCTCCAACAAAGGCATGACCAGACCTACATTTGGCTCAACAAATACTTCCCCATCCACTAGTGTTACTACTCTGCTGAAAATAATGGGAATGCAACAGACAGCTCTAAGCTTTCCCAGTTTCTGTGTGGTAGAGAGGGCCTACCTGTGTCCACTGAGACCCTGCTTTTACTTAAAATTGTGGAGTTTTAATCAGCAGGATTAAAGGCCTTCCAGATCTCCACCATCACACCAAGATGGCCATAATTTGATCCAGTATTCTCTTTGCAATCAACTACCACAATTACTATGCTAAACTGGCAATGACCAACAAATCTCATCAGTTGGCATTAGGGATACATCCTTTGAACTATTTCTAAAACATGCAGTGAGGAACGTGGATACCACACCTAACTACAAACTAGACCTAACTACACTCCTTATTTTCTTTATTAATACTGTGTTATTCCATAATTGCCTTTCCTTCTTAATTCCACATCATTAGCTGAAGATGCTTTTGTGTTAGGCTACAGTTTTTAGCTGAGTTTGCAGTGAAAAGCTGATCCCAATTGCAGCTTCATGATTCTGTTGTGAGCAAACAGTAATTAGCAACATAGCTCTAAGTAAATCATAATGAAATAATCTACTTTTTGCACTGTGCTAAAGAATATGAGCCCTCTGCCAAGCTTCAGGTTTTCAACACTAAATAACCAACAATTTCAACCAACAATTGAACTAATTGAGTTATTTTATAAAAACATGGCGGTTTCCTATGCCAGAAAACTACATGTGGACTTGGGGAAAAAATAAACTACATGAAACACACAACCAAATTACCACTCAAGCTGCAACACAATTGTTGCAAAAAAGTGTCAGCCAACAGTAAGGTTAAACTACTGACTGAACATTATTGCTGGCAGCCTTTCAGTACCAGCCTATAAATGTCAGGTCTCACTGATGAAGGAGAGGCCTGAGAAGGCAACCAGAACCTTAAGAGTCAGCCTTCAGTGAAAACAGTCACACAGTTATTGTTTAATATTTCTAAAAACAAAGCCTAACCAAAGCCTATGCTATTTGAAATAGACTGAGATGTGTTTTGCATCAAAATGCTGCCAAGCACTTGGAGGACACTCAGTATGGCAGTAATGCACTACAGAGAGAGAATCCCATGACTGGTATGTATTTGGCCAACAGCCCAGTTACAAACTGCAGTCAACCCTGTTGTTAATTGAGGAGAGATTATCTTCAGTAATACTTTATATTGAAATAAACTCAAAGAGAAACCAATTAATACTTGAATAAGGAATGATAGGGTTAAAGCTTTTGCAAAGGGAGTATTACTGTCAGTAACAACTGAATCAGAGAGCTTATTTACTGAAGGAGAAAAATGGAAACTGCAATGAAGGGAAAAAAAAAAGTCAGGAAGGAAGTTAGTTTCCTAGATTTCCTAGTGATTTCCTAGTGATTACGTACAGACAAATCCAGAACATCTTTGAAAGGTGTCTCCTACATGTCCTCTGCCAAAGCTGGGTGTTTGTGTGCGTGGTGGCTTTTCTGGGGGAAGACTGTATTGTAACTGTATTATGATGTCAGGGAAACCACTGACACTTTTGTCCTGGGGAGGCATCAGGCCCAGCATGGCCAGGCAGGCAAGGGAGGGGATTGTACTGCTCTTCTCTGCACTGGGGCAGCCTCACAGTGAGTGCTGAGGGCAGCTTGGGCACCACAATATAAGAAAGATACTAAGCCATTAGAGAGTATCTAAAGGAGGGCCATGAGCATGGTGAAGGGTCTGGAGGGGAGGCAGTATGAGGAGTGGCTGAAGTCATTTGGTCTGTTCAGCCCAGAGGAAACTGAGGGGAGACCTCACTGAGGTCTTCAACATCCCCACAAGGAGAAGCAGAGGGGCAGGCACTGATCTCTTCACTCTCATGACCAGTGACAGGACTCAAGGAAGTGGAGCTAGGGGAGGTTTAGGTTGGAGTTTCTTCACCCAGAGGGTGGTTGGGCACTGGAACAGGCTCCCCAGGAAAGTGGTCACAGCAACAAAGCTGACAGAGTTCAAGGAGGGTTTGGACAATGCTCTCAGGCTCATGGTGTGACCCTTGGGGTGTCCTGTGTAGGGCCAGCACTTGGGCTTTGGTGATCCTGATATTTCGCCAATGAGTATTTCTGCTGATTTTATATTACTTCAGAAATTACATACTGCAAACTGCATCACTTGGTTTAAAAAAAGTTACCGTAACTGCTTCACAAAGCACATTGAACTTCATCACATAAATGATAGTCATTTACGCTGGCTTTTCACAAAGATCTCTTAATAACTATTTTCTAAAGTGGTGTCTTTGACATTGTTAAGATGTATTCAATTTTCTAATTAGGTTTATTTTCTGAATGTGTATTTGCATTAGCTATACATACGATTCATCTGCAATTGTTCTTCTCTGTTGAGGTCTGTAGTACTTGGCTTATTCTCTGAAGGAAGGCTTCCTCCATCCCACCTGTGTAGCTGAGCAGCAACTGGAACAACTGGAATTGGTGGCAACTTCTCCCTCCAACTGGGACCATCCTGATCTATTAAAGTCTTTGTTATTCTGAAAAAGAACAGCCCCACCAACATGACTTTTCATATATTTTACTCACACTTTAATAACTTACAGCCAATTCAGCACTGCAATGTTACAATTTAAAAAAAACCCACAACCTGAACAATTACCCTTAATGCTAATTTGAAAAATATTATCACAGCAGTCAACAGTATTACATGCATTTAAGATTCACACTTTTTCCACTTTAGAGTATTATGCTGGCATTTAGAAAACAAGCTGACTCCAACATGATCTGTAAATATTTAAGCCAATGACTGATTCTACAACTGAGCTCCAAATGCTGCCTACCAATCCAGTAAAGAAATTAAAAAAAAAATCCAAGTATTTACTTTCATTACACTTCTCAGCTCTTCATAGGTGTTATTTGTATGCAGTGTAGATTACAGTATTCTCAGGCAAAATGTGATTCTTAAATTTGCAAATGTCAAATGAAACCTCTTCCACAACAACTGTCTAAAAAAAGCAATGCAGATCACAAAGTAGTCTGCATTAAGTTGCATTTTACAGTTATATAGTGAGAAATGTATTGATCAATCCCCATTTAAAAATATTTTAATTACATATAAAAACTTAGTTTAGTCCTTCTTAAACCAACACATATATGTGTGTCAACTATTTCCACATATATGTGGCTCAATCCAAAAACTATTTGAGTGGAAGTTTCCCATTGCCTTTTTCTCTTTTGGAAAAGACAAAAGTAGACACAGTAAGTGAAGCCATTTAAGATTTCATGGTTCCATTACAAATTTTGTAGTGTTAAAAAAAAAAAAAAATCAATTATAAAAGTAACAGTGTGATAAACATCTCCTGATCTCAAAATGGTTTTAAGAATCAAGTTCAACTGGTAAAAAGTCTAATCTGTAATTTAACAAAGGAAAATTCTGAACTGATTAGCAAAGCAAGTCACATGGATACTACAGGAAATAAAACTCAAAATTTTTGTATCAGGTGCATTTCCATCTAACACAGATGTGAGAAACATACTACATGAACACACATCCAAAAAAAAATTAAGAACCTTGACAGTGACAAGAAGAACAACACAGAATGAACATAAATTACCCAATAGTTTTCTTATTTACTTTTGTTCTTTTTAAGAATAACAGCTATTTAAAAAAAAAAGTGTCAGTGTAATAGTTTGGCAATAGCATCAGAGCACCCAAAACTATATTCTTTTCCCATTGTGGTCTGATCAAAAAACTAATACAAGAAGCAGCACCAGTTCTAATCTCCTTTATGTGAAACAGAAATTACATTAAAGAATGATAAAGACTAAGAAGTCTGTTTGTAGAGCTATGTAATGAGCAAGTTTACATTTTACACTATGCTGCATAAAAAACATGTGTTTTTGACTTGAAAGTTAATTTCTTCATTCACAGAATATCACATTCCATAGTATAATGTAGTTGCTTTATTTGTTACCTAAGTGATCAAAAAAACTATTTTAATGTGTGTTAACTGCACATGCCCTTGGCAGGGCCCTGTACCATTCCCAAGTATCTTAGAGGACATATCAATTATGTGGCTTGTCCAAGTACTGTTTTGCTCTAATTTTATTGAAACTCCAAGATTTTAATAATAGCCTGAACTCAATTGCTAAGAAAAAATGTGGCACACCATCATAAATTGAACAACCCAAAGATTTACTCATGTTGTTTTTTTAGGCAACCAAACAGTACACTTCATATTAACACGTCAATTAATTAACTTTAGGTATTTCCCAGAGGAAGTAATGGAGTAGTTCTACAGGAAACCAGAGTCATATTGACTTAGTATTCAATTTGTATTCTCATTTATCATAATGGGCTTAAAAAGTTGGAAGAAAAAACTCCAATTCATCAAAATCTGCAGAAAGAATCCTGCAGCATCTGATGATCAACTGACTTCTTGTAATATCATAATGTAAGCAGAGTCCTTTGCAAAAATGCATACCTGTGTGCCACGATTAGTTTAAAAAGCACAGGTGTCTCATGAATAAGCTGGGACAAATACACTCATTTCCCAACACCAACTCCCTGACTTGACCCAACAATCATGCAGTTCTGGAGCTGATAACAAATTTCTTTCTGCAGTATAGACTCATATGGGACTTTGTAAAAACAGCTTCCAAGCTATTGCATGCAATTTGCTCACTGATACTAAAGGAATTGGGACAACTGGAATGAAACTACAATTTAGTAGGAGGAAATGCATGAATATATTCCCACACATTAGAGCTTCTTTATTTCTAACAGAGAAAAACAAATAATGAAACACTCAAGAGGAAATTAAAATACACAAAGTAGGAGATACACTGATGTTCACAAACCTAGGAAAATGCCACTAATTAAAAGCATGCTTGAAATTCAATTTCCAGTTATTTGTCACACATCATTAAAAGTGTCAGTCCTTCCAGTTTATCTAAAAAAAAATCACCTCAGGAACCAATAAAAGACACAATTTAACATAATCTAATCAACACAATAAACACTCAAATAAGTGTTTATACTTGTTTCCATTATGTACCTAAACTCTTAATTATTTCCTTTTGATTGCAAAATGATCAGGTAAAGGCTTGATATTAAAAATCCTTGTCTTTTATGTGAATATTAAAAATATGCAATTGATTCTAAGGTTTTTGGAAAGTCTGCTTAACTATGTAAGCACATAGTGACAAGCTTCAGCATGGTTTAGCAAACCCACCCTCAGACACAAGTAGGATGATGGATATTTCCTGTCAGCATCTTACAGCATCACTATCCAATTTCCCACAGAAAATTAAAAACCAAGAAATCCTCCAATAAAAGAGGGTTGTTAAGATCTGATTTTCCTAATATAGAAAAATACAAAGAAAATGCTACCTTTGGGACAGTCTCTTTAAGTTAAAAGGCAGTCATTTTTTTTAAAAATTCATCTCTTACTTTGGAAATGAAAATGAAAGCTTTAGTACAGTTTCACTTGAAGTTTCAAATGATAAAATATTTCTTAAAAAATAAAGTTTCAATTACACAGGAGGTCTATGGTTTAGAAACTAATAATTCGCAAGCAAAAATGAATTACCAGCAGAAGAGAAGAAGGAAGAAGCAGCTGAAATAAGGTGATGGGTTGCCAGGAAGGAAAAGAGTAATGAGCAGTGAAGCTAAAAACATAAGGAAGGCCTAGAGAGGAGAAAAGGAAGAGTGTTAAGGGGAAAAGGGAAATAAGCTTATTACTAAGCAAGTTCCAAGTCAAGGAGAAATATGAAAAGAGTATCTGCAGATAAAATAAGCCAATGAGATTTTTAAAAAGTGTAATAATTACATAGGTACCAGGATAAGCAGTTCTACCAATCCAATCTATTATCACCAGAGATACAGAAGAACAGTAACAATTTTTATGTTATCAAAAAAATAGGACTTGTATGAGATTATGAAGCGTCACCATTTCCTCTGGTCAAATAAACAGAATTTAAAGAAAGATATTATGGACATTGATGAATAGTGCAAGTGCTCATGGCCTTGCCTTAGGAAGAAAAAAAAAATGTACTAGATTCCATTGTAAAAGTCACATGCACATGGTTTCCTTCTCAGTGATTGGCTGTTCTGTTTTCAACTTTATAATATTAAAATATAATTAGAGAAATTCAAACATTTCTCTTGGCAACTGAAATTATTAATACTTGAAAATAATATTTAATTATATTTTTGACAACTCTAAGCTTTGCAGCCAACCGCTGTATCAAGCTACTTCGGTATTTCCACACCTGCAGCATCCAGAAGGATTCACACTTTACATAAATCTCCAACTGCTACAGAAAGACTGTTAATATGTAAAGGAAGCAAGATGTCAGAGAAATGGCACGGACCTTAAGCGTTACTTCATATAGTATAAAATAGAGGTTAGGAAAGACAAGTAGAAACACTATGAAAAAAAACCCAAAAAACTTTAAAATATTTAAAATACTACATTTTTGAAAAACATGAAAGAGACACACTGCTAGGAGAGGAAAACTGAAATTATGGGAAAAGAACAGCCAACCCTCTACCTATAAGGAATTAGTTGTACAACAACTCTGACAGTACAAAATAGAGCGAGCACGTAAAACAAACAAATCTGAATTCTGTTTTTCTATGTTGACTGTTATCAGAGAATTTCTGTGTGAGTTACCTGTTAGCACTATCATTTGCTGCTTGGATGCTGCTGTCTATCTGTAGCACTGTTTTATAATCAATGTACGCCTGCCGATACCGCTCCATTGACTCATTTGCCATTGCTCGGCGTAAAAGAGGCTTAAGGGAAAATGGTTGAAGCTCCAGAGCTCTGGGAAAATAAAAAGAAAAATGCAGGAATGAAAAAGAGTAACTGGAATAAGAATAACAGAACTATTTTATGATATACACAACTATATGTAACTCTGTGATTTCAGATAGCACTTAGAGTAAAATAACTAAGGAAAATGGCTTTGAGTGGTTCATATCAACACCCTAAATGACACCCAGTTTTAAAATTGTTACTGCTTTTACTACAGTTTACTCAAAGCTCTATCTTCCGTCTGGAAAACTGCTCTCATCATCAAGATATGATTAATGTAATGGCACCTGATTAAGAGCAAAAGCTGTTTTTCTTAAGTCATGCCTAAATTGACAAGGATTTCAAGTATATGGTGCTTTTCCTTACATGACTGAAAGTTCTTCCTTAAATGAAAGTGTGCACTTAAAAAACCCATTGATTAGGACAGGAATATAGACCTGTTTTTCTCTGGACTTTAGGTTTTCACCTGTCTTTTGTCTGCTTACATTTTTGATTGTCTGCCTGGTCAGCACCAAGCTCAGCATTGTGCAATTAGAACTCCTTCCCAACACCACACACTTTTTCAGCAATAAGAAGCAGCCCACAAAGGCTTTATTTCTAAAAGACTACCTTCTTTTCAATCTTTCTTGCTAAAGATAAACTTTTGAAATAGTGAAATTAAGATGAGTCTAGACAATTTGATTTCATGAAGTCATAAAGCAATCCAGACTGAGATATCCCAGCTATCTGCTAGAGATACAGCCAGCTTGCAGATCAGATGAGGTTGCTCGAGGCTTGATACAGCTGAAAACCCTCCAAGAAAATCTCTGCCAGCATCTCTGGGCAACCTGTTGTAATGCCAAGCACGGTTTGTGGGAAGGTTTCTCCTAATATAATCCTACATAATTTTTTACTCTGAAATTGTAACCTATTTGTAGATTATCTATTATATATATATATATATATATATATATATATATATAAAATATATAATTATACAATATATATTATATTACATATGATATGATATATTATAGTGTTGCCTACTGAACATTTATTTGACATCACCTAATTTACATATGTTTGCAGGTCTGCAATTCTGCTTCCCAGTCTAGTCTCTAAGTTATTTCTACCTCTGTATTACTTCTACCACTAAGCATCATGAGTCCTTGTGCATCCATGAAATATGCATGACATTAAGGACACTATCATTAGGTAGTAAGAATAAAAAGCTTCTAATTGGTAAGAATACAAAACCTAAAACCTCTGTATCACTGATTCCAGCTAAAGTTTTACATACTTCAAACCCCCTGAACAGAAAAATGCTCTTAAATACGCCTTCTTGGCCAGCTGTCTGTGATCCTCCGTCTGTTTCAACAAAATAATGCTAATGAGTATTTTTTCCAGAGAACTTATTCTATCAGGTAGAATATATATATATATAGTAAGTTAAATGTTTTGTACCTTTGTATTACAAAGGTACATGCATATTTTATTTTTAGTTTTGGAGGGCTTTTTTTTAACAGTGGAGTTCTGCTGTACAAAATACTCCACTGATTACTTTACATTATTTCTAATTCTTCTAAGATACTTTTCTGCAGCTTAAGGCTCAGCTTTATAAACTCAATCTATGGAAATACTAAATACCCCAAAACATCAAAAGTACAGTAATAATTTAGTGGGACACAGTGTTTGGAAGTTATAGAAGGTGTTTGATCTTCTCTAACTACCGTATCCTTAAAAGCCACAATAAGCAGAAAGGATTTTAGCTCAATTCCTTAACAGCTGTAATTACTACTTATAACTATGTCAAGTATATATTAAAAAACCCCAAACCAAAACAACAAACCAACGAAGAACACACACATGTACACCATACATGTGCTCAAAATAATTTCCAATGCTGTGATAAGCACCAGGCGTAACAAAGGTTTTACACAGAAGCTACTGCAGAATTCCACTGTAAACCTGCTTTTATATTAAAAATTTTAATCCTGCTATGCATTTCTGTGAACACAGTAAGCTTAAAAACTGCCCTTACACATTAAGTTAAAAGTTATTCCTTTCCTAGTTTCCACATGATTGTTTATCTAACAAAGGTATCTGTCATTTAGACAGGGAATCAGACTTTATTGATATTGTTCTGAGTCAAACAGCACTAGCAATATATCAGTTAAAACGTTTAATCATCACCAGGAATGTTGTTGTTCTACATGGGAGGTTTCAATTTACCTGTTACAATCCTGAATGCAGTCACTGCAGTTCCCTTCTTTAAGGTAACATGCTGCTCTGTTTGAGTACAAGATACTTAAATCGTCTGGACTTTGTTCTCCTAGAAGAAGTTACAATTAAAATCAAATAGTATTACTGAAATTACACTTAAGAATTAAAGATTTGCATACTCCAAGTTGCACTGCAGTGATGCAGTCTGCTGACACTGCAAAGCTCTAAACAGCTTTCTTTTATCATGTTGCCTAGAATATGTAAGTATTCAAACATAAATAAATGCCAACAGCTCTACCCCAAGAAAATTAAAACATTATTTCACTCATTTTCCTGTATTTTCTGTCACATGAATTGCTGTCTACTGAAATGATGAAAGATTTACTGCATGGAAACTCCTGTCAAAAATCCAGGGGCAGACTACATTCGTTCACTCGTAGCTCCTTTAAATCTTCTAAACAGTTCTAAATTTTAAGTATAAGGTATTATTACACTCACCTAGACCAGCGACACACTCAATTGCTTCCGAGTATTTGAGCACAGCTTCTCCAAACTGTCCACTCTTAAATAACTCGTTTCCTTCACTTTTTAGTTTTGCTGCAGTAGGAGGAAGCGAATTGGAACTGCCACCACCAGCCGACTGAGACCCTCCTCTATGCGACTTGCAGAGCTCCTCGGCTTCGGCGCTTTCACTCTTCTCACGACTGCGTAAATAGCCATTAACTTCGCCTTCATGGTCTGACAAATGCTTTTCTGACTTCTCCGACGGGCCTTTTTTTCCTCCGCTCTCGGCGGACTCCTTCTGTTTGTGCGTGTCTCTGTCGTGCGCCTTGCCGCCGCCTTTGCCGTGGGACTTTCTGTGCGCGTTGCCCATGGCGGGCTCCCCGGCTGCCGCCCGCGCTGCCGCTGGCGCGGCGGAGGCTGCAAGGGCGTTAATGAGCCGGGTTAGAGCCGCATCATCAGCGCGAACTATCGGCCCGCCGCGACACGGGGGTGCTGCACAGGGACACCGACCGAAGCCTGCAGCATCCCAGCGCTAGGGGGGCTTATCTGCCTCAGAAAGCACTGCTAACGACACGGAAAAATTCCTACTTACAAGGAACCTGCAGCTGTTATTGAGAAGGGATCACTAGGAAGCCTCATTTCCCCTTGCTGGGCACATGGGAACCCCTGTCCTGAGGTCTCAGAATGGTACAGGGCTCACCTTGAAATTAACGCTTTTAATACCGCCTATTACAACACGGACGCTTTGATCTTCCACGACCAAATCAAATGCTTACATGTTAAAATTAGATCACAAACTATCAAACCAGTAATGTTATACAAAACTCTCCTCAAATATAATATAGAATATGCAGGATAAAAGCTTATAAATCCTTCTCAAGAAGATTTCATTTAAACATGCCAAAACCCCTTTTCCGCTTATGCATGTGCTTATTCAACTTTCACTGTTATTTATTACAAATTTATTCAGAAAAAAATCATAGAATAAGAAATAGGGTGTTAGATAATAAAATCTCTATCTTCCATATTCAGCTGATTTCCTACCAGATTACCACGGCAGTATTCAAAGACAGATTTCTGTAGAGCGTGACTCTCGATACTACTTCTCACAGAACAACTCTGCCTTTTGGTACTATTAAGATGCTATCTTACCCTTCCCTTAACCTGATGTATTTATCCGTCCAACATATCGGAATGATACTTTCAATTGACTTTAACAAAACATCTGACACTGACTCAATATAGAAGACCTCCAAAATGAAAGCAATATTTGTTTTTTAAACATACAAAATGTTACTGAAATCAAACTGACCAGGATGGAAAAGTATAAAATTTGTAGAAACAATAGATCCTTTAGTGCCTTCTACCTAGCTGAGGTCCCTGTTTTGAAATACCAAGTTTAACAATAAGTTCATACTCCACAGTGGGAACAACGATAGGCTAAATCTACCCACACAGACCTTTTTGTAAAAATTAAATTATTTATATTTGACACATATATCCATCCATCTAATTGGTGGTGCCAAATATACCAAAAAGGTTTAAAGTCTATTTGCCAGGGAGAATGGTGGTAAAAGGCTTGCTGGGCAGATGAATGAAACACCAGTATATTAACTTCCTTAACACACATGCTAAAATACTTTCATTTTATGGACATTAAAACAGAAAAAAAATTTAAATGTCACAGACAAAGAGGTGATAGGATGAACTTTTACAAAACATAGCAAAACACTGTCAAAGAGCATCCCAGCTTCTAGAGACAAAAAAAAAAAAAGCAAGGCAGATACATAATATGTGATGTAAATGGTACTAATGTGAATAATGTGTAATTCCTGAATACGGGAGGAAATTTCCTAAAGATGAAGTACACAGAACCAGTTCTGGATTAAACAGGAAGCATTTATAGCATCTGGAGTCCCCCTGACAATAGGAATGCTGATAGTTACCTTGTTTAGCTGCTGCGTAATACTAATTGGTTAAATATTTCAGGTCTGAGTAAACAGCATGCAAAAAATGTACAGCTATACTTCTCAAATATAATTCTCACTGTCTTTTAGTTTCAGTCTTTAAAAACAATGTTTCTGTACTGGTCTCTACAGAGAAATGTATTCTCAAAAGCAGTATTCTGTGCTAAAAAAAAAAATACCAACACTTCTGAACTTTTCTTAAGGAAAAAAATTCAAGACACATTATAAATTCCAAGGAGAATTTGAAGAAAGGTACTGAAAATTCTGGACAGAATTTTGACCAGAACAACAACAAACACACACTAGAAAGAATTCTAATTTATGTTATTACTAAAATAACAAACTTAGAATGGAAGAACCATCATAAAACTAAAAAAAAAAACGAAACCACTGAATACTCTAACAGGAATATTTTAAGTTTGAGGAGTGTCAAATATTATATAATAATATAATATATATATATAAAATATTCTTTAATATTGTAATGCATCAAGCAAATACCACACAGCTCAACAAAATTTGTCTCAATTAAAAGGGGCTATTTAAAATGTATCTCTAATTTATCTTTAAACTTGAGGGTATAACATGTCAAAATACCAGGTGTTTTGTCGAGCACACACATGATTTTTAGGTTTTGCAGTGCTTGAATACTGGGTTTTATAGTCTGTAGGATGCAAGCAATTTTCCACTTCTATTGTACAGAAAGGGCTCTTTTTACTTTTGCTATTGGTTAAACAGAAGATAAAGAGAGACTACACTCTATTTAGACTTTGTTTTGTTCAAAATTCAGAAATCAACTCTTCAGCCCTAAAGAAAATAAAAAATATTTTGATTTTCTTTTTTCCAATCTCTAAATTTTAAGTTTAGTAGGAATGCATCAGGCTTACCAACTAGAATGTGAAATAAATGTGACTACATGACTGGACTATATGGACTACAGGACTGCCTGTGATTACAGGACTAGATGTTTAATCTACTTATTGCTGTTAGATTCACAGAACACTTTTATTCATTAACTGAACTGAATTCATATTTGTTTCCAGTTGTACAAGAAAATACAGAGTAATCTATGAAAATGCTTGCCACTTAAATCTCAGAAATACTTATGCATATCACAGGAACACATATGCCATTGGCGTCAGATGACGATCTTCCCTGTGTTTAAAGGCCTAACCTTTCATCAACAGAATGGAAGTCTTCCTATGGAGCTAGAAGGCACACAGTCATCTGAATGCTCACAGTAGAAAACAACCCCAAATGAACAGACATTTAAGGCTAGGGACATGATGCACCCTCTCTTCCAGGGTTTTAGCTCAGGAGATTTGGTAGACACCAACTGATGTGGAGAAACGTATTTTCCCCAATCTTGTGTGCCAGTAATATATTATTATATCACACACGTACAGTCCAACATTCATGATTAAGCTGCAAAACCCACGGACTGATTTAGTTTCAAGATAAAACACAGAAAACATAAAAGTCACAGCTGTCATGCCACAATACCTTAAAGAACCAACATAACTAACACAAAGGAGAAGGGTGAAACTGGCCTACGGATGTTACTCTGTTGCAGGCTAGAGGCCAGCAATGCAGCTGAATCTAAAAGCAACCAGCTAACAGGAGCCTTCCTAGCCCCTGCTGCCTCACCTCCTCCTGCAAGCCATGGATTCTGATTATGCCAGTGGCTTCATCCCAAGAGCCTAGCAGTTAATCAATCACACACTAATCCAGGAATGGGAGACACACTTCAACTGCTTGTAAACTACACCCAGTACAAGAATTACATGTTGTTTATCTCTAATATAAACATCCAGAGCACTGAGATGGGCTCTTACAATTAAAAAAACCCAAAAAGTAAGAATGATAGTTTCCAAAACAAACAACAAAAATTACTGATGTTGACAAATTATACTTGATCATTTTTACACCCTTTGATGCAAGCATTGGAAGAAAAATGCAGAATAAAAATGTGCTGATGGGAAGGCAGGAAAGCTGTGTGACAGAAAGATCTCAGGAACACAAAATGTTCTCTCACCAGAACAAATTCTTAACTGTGTCCACATCAAAGGACAGGTGTAAAATTACACAGGGCACAGGGAAGTAGGTAATTTATAGCAATATTTTCCATTTGTCTCTGTTATGCTCATTCTAGAAAGAATTACAAAGATGTGTAATAAAACTGGATTCTAGATTTCACACCCAGATCTACTTTAAGTATTCAAAGTAAGTTTAGTCCTCGAACAGGCAAAATTCTTTGCAAGAAAACATTGATGAATTGTGTGAATAAACATTACAATCTCAAAAACAGTGATTTGTTTCTTAGGTTAAAATAAAACAGGAAATGATAAGACATTACTTTTATCTCCATCACGTCTTTCAAATTCTTCTGTATTTTCCCCTCTTCCTTCACCATTTTCTGAATCTTCTATCTCTTGAATAAGTATTTTTTTTCCTTTGCCTGGAGGCCCAGATACAGGGTTTAAACCTTTCAGTTTCTCTTCAATCTCTAGTAGACTTTTCTACAATAGAGAAAAAAGCCAGCAATAGCATAAGTCTTTTTTATTATGTATATAAATGACAATTTATGTACAGCAAGTTTTATTGTTAAATAATCCATGTAACATCCTGAAGAATTATCAAGATAAATATTGCCAATATAAAAAGATTGCAAATAAATGTGAATTTTCCAAGAGTCAGCATCAAACCACAATGAATAGTCAATTTCTGTCACTCTCACAAGATAAAGACACAAGATATCTTTACATCTTTATGTGAAAATATCACATAAATAAATAAATACTTTTCTTGAATGCATTGCTTATCAAAAAAACCAAACTAAATTCAAAGGAAAAAAAGTAGATTTATGATTGTGAGATCTGGCATGGTCTACTAAGAAGAGGTGTGTAAAACACTAGGTTCTCTAGAGAATCTCAAAAAAAGCCTAAAATCAAAATCAAAATTTATGCTATGGAGAATCTGATGTCAGATGGACATCTGATGGAGAAATGCAACTGAGAGGACTAGAACCAAGAGACAACAGTCTCTTAACAGTGTAGCAGAAAGACACTGTTGAATAATGATAAGGTTTTCTCCTTGTATAAGAACTGCAATTAGATGATCAAACAGCTTCTCATTCCATAACACTTTTCCATTACTCAAAAAACCCCCTTTAACTGTGCCTAGAATTATCAAGGTTGGAAGAGACCTTTAAGATCAAGTCCAACTGTTAACCCAGCACTATCGCTGTAACCCATAAACCACTAAATCACTTTACATTGTCAGAACAGAGTAAGACACACCCAGCACTATGTGGTACTTTGAATGTAACTCAATGCTGTACAAGAAAGTGCTATCTCAGTACTTCCTGCCTCAAGAAAAAGACAAGAACAGGATCAAGCAAAGATTCACATGGACAAACTGTCTTGAAGAATTCCAGTCACTGAGAACTAATTCACTTTTGTATTAGTGATTCTAGATATAAACGTGCACTCTGTATATGTTCCATGCATTCATATTTAGCTCAAGAAGGTTTTGAGGACCCTCCAAGCAATGAGAAACTTGAAAAAATGCCCTGCCAAGCACTTGTCATTTCTCAATGTGCCAGCCATGGCATAATAGCTGGCATGGATAAGGACAAAGTAAAGACATCTGCTTTCAGTTACAAACGTACTGCTCATCAAAGCAAGTAATGGAAGAGTGTAATCAAAATGAGTGATTATCTATGTCTAGTATTATAAGAAGTCTTAGCACAGCCCATTTGATACATCTTTTTACAAAGACTGTTGTAGAATTGTCATCACAGACTCACAAGTTATTTAGTTATTCAGTCTTGTAAACAGAAAAGAAAAAGACTAAAATCTCTTTAACAATTCAAATCTAGAAGCATATGATTCCTTGGTTGATACGAAACTCAAGAACTATTCTGGACAGGAACTTAGCTCCAGGAATACCCTAAAAGGATAAATGCTGTATGTGGTGAATTTGACACAAGAAGCTTACACCACTTTCTCTGGTTCAAGCAATAGTAAGAACGCCATGGAAAGAAGCAGCAATGAGCAAGCTGCTAGCAGCTTACGATATGCCACCAACAAGAGCTGGACAGAAGTCAGAAGCTGGGACAATTGCACAGCATCCAGAAGTCATATGTAAAAACATTGTGAGGGTAGTAGCATGATGGCCTCATAATTAACATACAACAAGCAGTTTATTATCAAAACTGCCCATTACTTAAGATTCTCAGGACACATAGAGTCCAAATGCAAGGACTGTTCTAATCTGCAAAACATCCCTAAGATACCAATGAAGGGACACAAACCAGTCCTCTCCTAAACAGCCAAAGTAATAGAAGTGCAAGGACCACATCCTCTCCTTGATTTTCAAAGAAAGCACCTGGCTTTCTTTCATCCAAAATTGGTTATGAAGGGTCCAGATTTATTGGAAGGTATGAAAGCTTTTTCATTCTACCCTGGAGATGAGAAATGAGGATTTATAACCACACTGAAGCAAGGACAGAATCCAGCTATTCTCCTTTTGGGTTAACTTTACCATTATAACAAGAAGCGCTTGGCATCTCTGTTGAATTTTGCTTCTCATTATATACTCAAACTTAAATGCACCTATCTCAGTGGATCTTTTCAATAGAAATTCCCAAATATCTTTGATCAGCAAGACACTAATACTGCAAAGCATGTTCAGCAGAAAATGTTTTGGGCACCTAAATTACATTAATAGAGGAGACTTTTCCTCGCAATCAAGTCCTGAACAGAAGATCTGGCCCCATTCAAGTACCTAATTTCCACATGTGGTCTTGGGAAGCTGATCAATGGCACAGCAGATCAAGTGTGTCCTCAAAACTCACAGTTACATCAAACAACCTGAACTGTACTCACTTTATGCTACAACTGCATACAACCTCTCTCTAGCCATATTCAACTCACTGATCTTTACCTTAGCCATAGAGTTTTCTGGTTCAACAGACAGCACTTTATTCAGATCCTCTATAGCTGTCTGGTAATTCTGCAGATGACTGTGTACAGTGGCACAACGCATCAAAGCTACAAAAGAACGAAGTATATTATCTATGTATTTAAAGGATAAAGTGAATAAAAATACACTATTTTTTCTAGATATGTTAAGTGCAGTTAAACAGTTTTTTAAATTCTCAGTTACTTCTATATTAGTAACAACTGTTTTCTTGATGATTTTTAATGATGCAATTTCATGTGATGTCTTTTGAGGCAGCAATCATGAATTGTGAAGCACCTTGTAATAGTTTCCAAATTTTCTCCCTCCACCCATGCAAATACAGTTAGCTACATTCAAGTCCTTGACTTCAGAAAGGAATAAACCAACAATTTTGATTGTCTTCATGTCACTTTTAAATTAATTTATAATTCAGTGTGGGTATTATGGAAACACTGCACAAATACAAGAGGACTTATAGTTATCATATGAAAAGCATGCTGCCATGTATGAATTCCCATTACAAATCAACAGGATGAACTGCACAAAACTTCACTAACCCCCAAAGAACCATTAAAACTGCTTTGGGAAGCCATGCTGTCTCCTTATTTGTACTTAGACCTCATCTAAAGCTCCATTAATTCAACTAACAACATGTACCATTTTATTTGCTAGAGGTAAAATAATACATTGACATTTTATTTTCTACTTTACCTTTTATGTTGCCAGGTTCCATATCTAGAACCTTCTCACAATCCTGCAAAGCACTGTCCCAGTCCTGAAGTTTGATTTCTGCTTGAGCTTTGTTATTATACACAGCTGCAGTCGGTATTACTGATATACTCCTAAAAGAAAGGGAAGATTGATCATGTCGGAGCTAGAAAACCTGAATCTAGAAACACTTCACTACTGTAAGCTGAAAACAGTACTACAGAAATATTAATACTGGTATTCTAACCACAGTAGTGTTTAGGGACTCCCTCCTGTAAGACCACAGTCAACAAAGTCAACAAAGAAGCCTCTTGCTCGCCAGGACTTAAACCTGAGATGTTGCAGAGGCTCGTCTGTAACTTAGACTGCTACCTCCTCCTGCCATCCACGTAGACTCCAACAAAACTGCCAAATGAAACATTTGAAAGATGAAGAGTAACTACACAACTCTGGGGATTATGATGAAAAGTATGGTGGTGGGGGAGAACACATGGGATTCTTCTTGATCTTGCTTGTAAAATGGAAAGACTCAGGTAGCAGTGGATGAATTGTCCAGGTCAATGTCTGGCTGCAGGGTGGTATTGTAGGTAGGGCTTTAGCTTCTGTAACAACAGAATCATCTCTGAGGAATAAGGACAGCTGGGATGCACATAACAAAATGGTGTAAAGGAATCTTTGCCAACAACCTTGCTAATAATGTTGCAAGGAAAACTAAACTGTGTTCACTGGAAAAAGCAGCAATAGAAGTGCCAGGAGGACAGCACATTGCAATAGACTCACACTTTCCTTGTGGAAAAAAAAGAAAACTTGGTTGGAGAACAATTTCAAATGCTTGTCTATAAATGCACAATGCATGGGAAAAAAAAAATAATAAAAGCTCTATGCAGCTATGATCCCAGTGGGATAACAGATATGGTGGGATAATCTGTGCATGCTCTTTAGAAAGGGTAGGAGGGTGAGGGAAAAAGAGGAGATCCATTCTAGTCTAAACAGTGATTCAATGCGTGAAGGTTTGTCTTCACACAAGAGGAACAGGCAAGAGACTGACAAGCCAGTCAAGAAAGCCAATGGGTAAGAATAAGAGATCAGATTCTACATTTTCCATTTTTGTCATAGATGACCCCTTCAGGTTATTAACAATTCACTCCAAAATATTTTACTTTAATATTTGTTAACTCTAAGAAAATAGATTTCAGATAGAATTCGAAAAGTGACCAGTTAGAACAGCATGGTGTCACTATCATACGTTTCAGAAGGCATACAATGCCCCATAGACATCAAAAATGGAAAAACTCTCCATTAAAAAGGATTCTGTCTATCCTTAGTAATTAGTACCTCATTTATGTTCCAAAAGCAGACGTTTTTACTTATTTTTATATTAGTATTTGTATTTTACGGTATATGAAATACAGCTATAAACTTTGTTTATGTCTGTGTAAAAAACCCAAAGAAAACGAGAAAGGTTTTAAGGCTGCAGGTCATGAAAAACAACAAAAAAAACCCATCACACATTAAATGCCTCAGTTAAGCAGACTGTGCTCTATAAATATCATTACAAGTGTGCACACACACACACACACATATATATATACATCTGTCTATATCAGTAACGACCAGACAAAATTTCATAAGCTGCTCTACAAAACCCTGCCTCCTTCAGTGACAATATGAATGATACTTCCTAAACATAAATATGTTAAATATTTATTTTACTGCTGTTTCACACTATTTCTATTCATTATTTTCTCCATACTTATCTGCACTGACTACAAATGCATTAACCTTCTCATACTTTTATTCAAAGTTATCCCATATAATATCATAGCTCATTAATTATCTTCACATTTCATCCCACACTAGTGTCATATCATTACACTCCCTTATCACTGGTAATTAATACCCCAAGATTCCCATGTACCCTGAATTTCTAAATGACTACTTTGACACTTCTGATTTGTGGGGTTTTTTAAGTCCTTACTGTTTCAAAGCACAGAGTTAGACTATATTTGTAATTATTTAATTTCTCAACACTCTGACGATCCTTTTATTTTTGGAAACATGTCCTTGAATCTCAATGGTTTAAAAAAATCTGAGGAAGTTTGCGACACCTGTAAGATTGCATTCCATCACTATCTAGCCCCTTCTCGTCTGATAAATAAAAATTAATATCAGGATGGATCAGTGCCTTAAATATTCTTCTGTCAAATCTTTCTGCCCTTTTGAAAATAATCTAAATTGTCAATAGTTGCTTCAATAAAAAGTTGTTTCAATTATTAAATTCAATTAATTCAATTAAAAACAGCTTTCACAAGTAAGAGTCATTAAAATAAAAGAACACAATAGTATTTACTCACCGAGTGTAATATGTCACTGCTTCCACATAATCGCCAGTGGCAAAGGCTTCATTGCCCTTTTCTTTTTCACGAGTAGCAATAAAAATTTTCTCTCTCTTTGTCATTCCTAGCAAAAAATATTTCTACACAACTAGCAACTTGCACAGATGTAACCACAACAGTCAGATAAAATACTTTGAATCTCATAGTCTGCATTTTTTTTAAAGCACATGGCTTACTAAAAGACAAATTTGTATTTTATCTTCTGTAATAAAATACTAAACTCTTCTCATAGGCATACAATTCAGCATGCAAGAAAAAAGCAGTTGGCTAACCTCTACCATTTATTTATAATACCAGATTATGCTTTACTTCTTTACCTAGTGATCCCAACTAAAAATGAACATTCTAACTGTTTATTAAGCAAGACCAAATTTTTTTCAAACATGGCTTCAAACTCACTTGATGATCTAAGAACTTTTAGCATCTCTAGGGGCTGAAAAATAAAGGCACTTTAACTCTATGATACACTTTCTTAATTAGTGTTCATACTCCACAACACAGTACTACAACTAAAGAAAAATTATGTTTCTAAGACATTACCAGTTGTGTCAATTTTCTTTTCAATTGCAGCTAGACTTGGCCTGCTGAAGAATCTTGCTTTTGAGTTACTTTCTTCACAGTCTTCATCAATTTTAGAACATTCCTTTTCCACATCAAACCTTTAATTAATAGAATGACAAATTCAATAATGCTGCATAGCAAGACTCCTCAGCTGATAGAAAGGCATATTGTATTTTCATTATAAACCAAAGGAAAAGAGATAAAGCTGTGTTCAGTTATTGGTGACCAAGAAAAATCTCTGCCTATCTCCTCACTATCTTCCCCAAAAAAAGACAGGTATAATTTAAGAAACAGTATCATCAGGCTTCATCCCAGCCCTACCAAACATCCCTATTAACCTTGGCCAAAATAACTAAGAAACAGCTTCAAAGCAATTTATATAGTAAACTTGAGAAAAGTAGTCTCAAACACTTCAAAAGCTACTCTGAAGCAGCTTTTGAAAACAGTGTTTAGAAATGTATATCAAGAAATACTGCTGCTGTAGTACTGTAAATAAATACAGCAATAATCAATTCCTATGCTATAAAGAAATATTAATCTTGCTGCTTTTCTGTGTAAGGTACAATGAAAAATAGCCTTTTCACAATAATCTTGACAATATGAATAATTTATTTCTGAAATCAAGATACTATTTTGAAAAATTATTCAACTCAAAACCTTTTCACGTAAGGCTAATTGTTCTCCATTTTGAATCTGATCTTTTGCTAGCTTACTTTTACCTATTTATTATAAATTAACCACATTTCAAATAAATGTTTTTTAAAATAAGAAGTGAAACATTTTTTCTAAACATTTTGTTTAGAAATTGCCTAAACAATTATTTGAAAGTTTTTAAATTATCCTCAAAACATTTTAAAACCATGATAGGCTTTAAATTGGAAAATGTCTTTCAAACAACTCTGTTGCAGTATACTCATAATCCAAAATAAATGAAGTGTTTCATGGGAAAATTCACAACCTGTACTATTATCAGCATACTAAAATACTTAAAGATTGTGTAAATAGATGTGTAAACAAAATCTCTACCATTAATTTGGAAAGATACAGTAGCAAGAGTAAAGAATAAATTAATAAAATAATAAATTGTTGCAGAAATTATTTTTATATTCTGATAATATTATTTTTATATAAGATTATTTTTATAATCTGTTTTCTTTGTCCACATTTGAGCAGGAAGGCATCAAGTTCTGAAAGATAAATGCGTGAAAATAACTAATATGCAAAACTTATGCAGAACAGGGTTTTTGATGGGGCTTTGGGGTATAGTTTCATTACCCAAACCCCAAAATATCCCCATCTACTGCACAGGAAATTTGTGCCTCTTCACTCTGATTCTACAGCATTATATTCCAGATTTCAGGAACTACAGAAAAGCTTCTACTATGTACAACACAAGTATGTGCTTTTTGCTTTCTGTGTTCAACAATTTGGGCATCAACCTGTCACGTAACTTGGGAGGTTGATGTGCCACCATTATAGGATGTGGAGTGTCTTTGTATCAGAGGTCCAGCCATTCTAAAATAGTTACTGTCTAAACCTCTATTAAGTGTAATTGCATTTGAGTAAACAGATGCATCTGCCTGAAGCTCATTCTTTGAGGTTAGTGGGGTTCAGTGCAAGAGTAAGTATTCATCGGTTTTGTTTTCAATGTAGAACTGGGACTTTAACTATAGAGAAGTCCATGTTTATAAGTACACGTTAAATAACCCTAGAGCAGCTTTTAAAAATCTCATCAATTAAGCAATTTTTATTTATTTTTCTGCTGATTTACTGTTTCACACAGCTTGTACAAAAGTATAGACTAACTCGTTCTCAGCTGTTAGTAACACAATGTGCCATTTGCATTTTAGCAGAATATTTATTAAGAAAAACGAAAGTTTCATCAGTGTTACAGTTCCCTAAAATGCTGACTTTAATGCTATGTCATCATATACATCATGATGTATACATCAACAGTGTATTTAAACAAATAAGTGAGATTTACTAGAAACTGAAATATAAGGGATTTAACATACTTGTCCCATTCACTATAATCCCGTGGTATGTTTTTCTTGCTTCGTTTGTTTTGCAATTTTTTGTTCTAAAAGAGAAACAAACAGTTATCTTGTAAGACAATTTGTTGCAGTGGAATTCACAGTGGTTCTTTTGGTTTGTTTCTGCAGTACATGCTTTCCTAGCAACCACACTACTCATGACTATTCTCAGCTCAGTCTTGAAAATGTAATTCATCTTAAAGAAAATCTTGATGCATTTCATACATCATTGCAATTTGAGGAGCTCCAATGTCTCACACTTTTTGTCCACTGTCTTGTCACATCACAGAGGCACTGAGTGAAACTTTCTAATTAGTATCTTATGATGCCATCTTCCCAAACATCCTTTCAACACAGCAAGGGAGAACTCAGTCTTTGGAAAACCCACCCTTGTGATGAGGTGTTTGACAATGAGATTAAATCAGTAACCTGGTTTTATGCTTCCCTTTCCCAAGAGAATCCAATGCACAGATTTTGGTAGTACCTGGAACACTCCCAACAAATCTGCAAATAAATTACTTCAAAGTAATGTCTGGACTTATTTTCACCATTTGTCCCTTCAATAAAGACAATTCCAAGATTATTTATATTCATTTTAGATTTTAGACAAGCTTCACCATTGAAGCTTGCCTTACCTAAAATGTATCTTGAGGACCTTCCTGCAACAATCAGTTCTGACAATCAGATTTGGCTGCCTTGTATCTCAACTCATCTCCTACACTAATGGACTCTACTTCCCTAGCTGTCACCTTTGGCATCTCTTCTACCTCTGTGATGAGACTATACTTCTTCTATGCCCCTCCCTGCTTATTGACTTCAAAATACTTAATAGCAAGGTGTGGTTCCAAACAGGTATTTCACAGTGGAATAGCCAGTTCAAAGTATTCCCATCTATCCTATCCTGGTCATTCAGTCCTCCTCTTACCTTGCAATCCAGCATTCACTGAGTTAGACCAGTGTAATTCTTTGTAGAGTTGCATATTTACAATTTTCTGTGTTTAAACAGTCTGATAGAGCTCACAGTACAATCCCCAAATATCTGTACCAGTTCAATTCAGCATGTGATAAACTGGACCAAAAAAATGACCAGAAGCTCCCTAAACTTGCTTTACCAGTGGTGACACTGTAACAAGGACATACTTCAGCAGCTGGATGTAAACACCTCAATTTACATAATGCAAATGTAACCCTTCCTGTAAACACTTCTGACTATATGTAATGTTAGGTTACACAAAATTTTGTAGTATATAACTCTAGAATTACTGTTAATGTTATGTCTTTCAGGAAGCGAGAGAAAATGATAAATATGTTTAGCGATCAGCACATGTTTAGAGAAGGTAACTCCTAAATATGCCTTCCTGAAACATGAATTATCATTATATATCCATCCTGGTATAAATTACAAATGTACTAATTTAATGAATATCAAGTATTTCTTTTCAACAAAAGTCCTTAATTTAAATGAACAAAACTACTGCAACTCTCAGAAGAAATTCTCATAAGGCACTTACTCTAATGCAACTCCAGCTTAGGAGTATGTATAAGCATGTACATTTAATGAATGAGGAAGAAACATTGACTCAAAAATCCACAATTAAAAAAATTCTAAGTCTCGTGTCTTTGAAATGATTGTAATCAAGTTGTGTTTCCAACAGAGTCAGGAATTTCTTGATCAGTAATATTTCAGAGGATCTCATCCAAGAAGCTTTGATGAAAAATGTACACTTACATGCCATGGAATTAAAAAAAAAACCTCTGTGCTTGTCATGTTTCCTGCCATAATTCATAATGTACGAATCCCACTGGGTTTGAAGCCCACTGAACATTTTCTGGATCAAAGACGAACACACAAATTGGCTTCAGTACAGGTAACACAATTTGGCCTTGGTTCTCCTGTGGGCCCTGTGTGCTGGCCTAAACATTACTATTCTATGGTTAGTTTTGAATTCAGAATATCCAAAACAACACAAAGGCTATTAGATACTATCACAGTGGATATTTATAACACAAAACTTGTATGCATTTTACATGCCCTGGGCTGTAGCACGAGGAGGTATTTGAGGACGCAAATCTTTCTGGAGTAATATTAGAAAACCATGTTTGGCAAAGGAGACTCAGCTGAAATCCCATCAATACAGTCTTTTGAATATCAGTATCTTTAAACACATGCTTTAGTTCTCTCCTAGATAAAATGAGGCAGCAAAAATAATAATTATGCAATGTGGTCAGTTAAGACAGTTCTGGGCAGCGTGACAGGAAAACAGGGGCACAAGACAAAAACTTCCACATTGTGTTATAGAGGCAGATATCGCATAAACTTCACTCTTTTCCAGTCCATTTTTGGAAAATCCCCACTATGGATTCACACCAATAAAAAGAAAACACACTGTATATAGAGTTATAAACTATCAGTGGTGAATAGAAATTACACCTATATATAGTATCAGCAAGAAAATCTGATTACAGACAAAACAAGAAAGATGCTTCCATTTACCAAACTTGTATCCATTAGTGCAATCCACTGGTTTAGGATCAATAATAATTTCCAGAATTGGATTCATTGAAAATGCTGATTTTTTTATGCATCAGATCAGATGAACAGTCTCCAACCAAGTATTAACATAAAATTATGGAAGGTTTTGTGGGTTTCTTTCTAGCAAAGAGGGTGATTTATCACAGTGATTCTAAACTTGATCCTACTCACAAAATTATATGATGCCAGTCTGAAAAATAATTATAGTCCCAACTGATTAGCCAAATGTTTAAAAACTGTAAGATGACACATAACTTTATCAGAAAGAAAGAAAGAAAAATAAGTTGATTATGTGTATTGTTCAATTTTTTTGAGATTTCATGTCACAGGTATAAATCTAGTGTATGCTATACAAACAGCTTCCTTTTATTCAGTAGGGATCTGGCAGTGATATAACTGTACTGCTGCTTAAAATGTTTCAGGCTTCCCTTCTCTCTTCCAGGACAGGTTACAATTCCTTCAGAGGCCATCAGCTTAGACAAAAGGAATGGAAATCGCATACCACAGGTAAAGCATAAAGCTATATCTAGGTTTCCTGGGTAATAATGCTAACACCAAAATCTGGTAGGGAGAACTAAAGCTGAAGAACAAAAGAACAAAATTTGATCTGAAGACTGCTGTATGGTTTAAAGAAGGAGAAAAAAAAAAGTATTTTTATTTTATTAATTAATGAACATTTTGTCTTTGAATGGAGAACACATCCTATTTAGTAACATGGTGCATCCTAGATTTCAAGATACTTTATGCTTCTATTCTATTCTATATTCAAGACATTTTATGCTTCTATTCTAAACTCGATTTATTGAGTTCACATGGTATTAAACCATTTTCTGTCCTAGGAGTTATACAGGACATGAATCAAGGAAAAAGCTATAGTGGCACAATCCATCTTAGCAAAATAGGACAGTCAAGAGGAACATACATTGCAAAATATGTTTACCAAATACCAAACCAAAGCATACCTTAGTCTCAGTACTAAAGACCTATAAAACACTTGCTGGAATCCACAGCCTCTTTGTATACTACGTAACAGAGACTGGCTAGCTATCCCAAATGTCCTGGTCCAACAGGATAAATAGATATGTACCAGCTGACAGTAAGAAGTAGTTTCTGACAATACAAGAACACAAATCAGGCATTTACTAATATATAATTATTCAAGAAAAATAGGAATTAGTAAGAAAGATCACATGACCTGTAAGGATCCCTTCATAACATTTCTGACTCACAAACCTCCAGAAAAGAACAATGCTTAATGAAGTTCCTATAGCAGTGTCGCAGAATTTCAAAGAAAATTTTGAAAACCAGACTGAACTGAATCCATGACAACACCTGACAATTCAGAAAAATCCCATACACACCTACTTGTCTGCCAATCCCTTCCGTAGTACCATATTTAGTATTAGCAAGAAAAGCTGGCCAGAAAAAAAAACTGATTTCAGGCAGATAAATAAACAAAAGAAAGAAAAACCCACCAAAATGTAAGGAAACTACTACCTGGGAAAAAACCACAAATATTTGTTCTGTAGTCATGAAGATTTGTTAAGTCTGCTTAAGGGCTAAATTAGAATGCTCTATGACTGCAGTGGGAAGGTATACACAAGGTATAAAATAAGCCAAATCAAAGGCTACATATACACCATCACTATCCAATACAGGAGTGGCTGTAGAGTAAAACAATTGCTGCAGAGGCTCCAACATCCACACTGTACAAGTTCCAGGGTGTTTATTTTGGACTGGCTTCTGACTGGCCCCACAGAACAAAAGCCTGCTGGCAGCTGGAAAAAATCTCCTGGCATAATTTCATCCAGAAGGAGCCTAGTTCACATGCTTAAACAGTACTTTGAAATAGGAATCAAAGAACAACAAAAGGGTGTTTAAGGAGATCTGCTCTGGCAGTGAATTCTTGATCAGAGTTAAAATATTATTACAATACACATGCCAGTACTAAGAAAGCATTTTTGTTTAAGCATTGGTCTCTTGCAAGGGAGCTTAAAGGTTTTCATTTTCTGGTTAACAAAATAAATCTAGTAAGAAAGGCACAATGATTAGAAGTTCATACATATAAAATCTCCCAGTTTTAGAAAAACCTACAAATAACACTTGTAATTAACACAAAAAACTTGAGATACCTGATTAGTGGAAAGGCAGCTGCTGGAACAACGAATGGGAGGCAAGTTATCTTGTCTTTCATTCAGTGTGTCTGTTCTCAGGAGCTGTGATTTTTTATCATCTTCATTCATTTCCGTCAGCCAGCTCTGAAAATAAATAAATAATATATTTTTACCTTAAGGCAGTAGAGCAATTATCCTTAAAAAGCACCACTCTTAATGGGGAAAAGCAATTAAGACAAAGAGAAATAGAGTTCTTTTGAATAAAAAGTGATCTACAAAAAAAAATTTGTAGATTTAAAATAAGCAGTTAAGGTTCAGTGACATTAAGCAAGAAAATAAATTTAAGAACTTAATCTTTTGATCATTTCCTCTTTTAATCAAATAACTACATTCTACTTAGGCACAAGAAGAAGATTGATACATCACAGTGATTGTATTATGGTCCATTATAAATTGATCCTGTACCATCAGTTCACTATTAATTGCTTCCCATTCTTCAGCTGTGAAATCAGAAGCTGTGGCTGCAGGCTTATCTTTTCTCAGAGCTCTGCTCCTTGGATCCAAATGCTCAATACGCTTTTCACAAACCAATGTAAGTTCAGGGTAACACCCCTCCTCACCAGACCTTTAAAATGCAAAGATATAAATGTTATCAAAAAAGAACTAAACTGCACCACATCCTCCATGTTTCCCTCCATGTGTAGTCAGTACAGTGACTGCAGAAGACTATTTTCTTGTTAAATCCCATTTTTACTATCATCTAATATCGTTTTTATTTAAAAATTTCAGCTAACCTTCAACCATTTTCCAATGCCCACATACACAGTTCAAAATTATCACCACAGTGCTCATAAGAAACTCATGTCATTTACTGCAAAAGTTAAATAGGTCTGACATCTGAAATTGCTAGTCAGGCAACATGGATCATAAGAGAACCAAAATAGAGTGGCAGCATTTAAAAAAAACAGCTACCATGGAGTTACTCAAACCTTTTGGATGGTTAAAGAAGGACTTGGATTTCTAGTGTTATCATTGGCACGCTTTTAGCATGCTTACTTTAACTTTGTATGTTAGTTTTAAATTAGAAACTCACAGACAGGTTCAGACAAATAGAAAAGAGCTCCCTCAAACTTTACAGAACAGGAATATAATTATTAATGAAGGTAAAAAAATAAATTTACCTTAATACCCTGAGAATCTTTTCCAGGTGCTTAACATCAGTGCATTTTTCAATGAATTTGTAGTCCAGATGACTAATAGGTATTTGATACGTTTTAGTGGTTCCTTCACCCAGCAAATACGGTACTGACTCATCACCCATAACTAAATGTTAAAATAAAATAATAAAAAAAAAAAGTGATTCTGTAAGCTTCTAGTTACATTTTGAAGTAATGCAAATTTAAGGAATAAACTTGCTCACACTCCACTCTCTCATGCAAGCAGACCTACAAAAGAAAAAATATCAGATTTGAAGGCCTGATCACATAAACTGTCCTTGACAAGAGGGTTACTGACAGAAGTATGAGCTGTGCTTTTTAAGAGTGTTATTTGCTTTATTATCTTTGTCTCCTATTGCCTTTTTGTTTATATTAAACCTTTTATCAGGCAAGTGAACCTTGTTTTTCACAAGAGTATGTAACTCTACCGCTTCTGCAAGTCACAACAATTCAGAAAGACCACTTGAAGAAAAATTGCCAATTTTTGCCTGCCACATTCTCTGGTTTATTTAACACATACCTGTTTACACCAAATGGGATAAGCATGAAGGAAAAGATAGTGCCTTTTTTCAGAGGGAAGACATTAACCAATGCAATGCATCTAAAGGAATGAGAATCTTTGGCTTCTGTGTAGACAAAATAAATTCAATTTTTGTTCCTCACTAACTGCATTTTCTGGGTCTCTGATTATATTACAGGACTAATCTGAATCTTTTCCAGTAAGTCGGTAACTGATGAAATGAGGGATTCAAATGGGACATTTCTGTCTCCCTGTACCTTTGATCTGGTCATCTGCATCTTTTTCTGTTTTGATCACAAGTTCTATGTAGATTAAACTCTTTTTCCCCCCCTTTTATATAGTACATGAAGAGGGCAGTTAATTTTAAAGAAATATAATAAGGGCAACTAGCTAGTATGTGAAAACAACTATGTCTAGTTATAAACCAAATTAAAATAATTATGTTCTAATGCCTTGCATAACTACATATGTTAATTTGCAGTTGCACAAAAATGTTTACAATACGGTATATCACTTTAATAATAACTGATCATAATTAGGTGTTGCATAGAGATTCTGCCCCAAGACTTTACGGTTTCAGTACTGGAAAAGGAAGAACACATGTGGGAAGAGGGACGAATGCAGGAAGTAATTAAAGAACAGAAGAATTAAAAGCTCGTCACCACCGGCGGTTTTTCCCGTTTATTCCCATGGACGTGAGGGAGCTGGACCAGGCGACCAGGACTCCGCGGCTGTCCGGGGGCACAGCCCCGGCACAGCCCGGCGCGCCCCTCTCCAGTACACCTTCCCCACACGTGCCCCGCCCCGGATCAGGGATTTACCTCCAAGCCGGGACCCAGGCTCCCCTCACGCCCCGCCGGGCCCGGGGCAGCGCGGCCGGCCCGCGTGTAGCAACTGTTGCTATGTACAACATGGCGCCCTGGACACGGCGCTGCCCGCCCCCGGGATGGCCTGCCGAGGCTCCGGCAGACCCCGCCGGCTCCAGCAGCGACACGGGCCTCGCCTATCGTTCTTCGGCACCCACCTGCCCGGCGTCGCGCTGTCTCCGGGACGCGGCCCAGCCCTCACCGCAGCCGGGGTCCGCCCGAGCCCCGCTCAGGCCGCGCAGACGCGGCTGGCGTCAGGGCGGGGATCAGGGCTGAGGGGGGCGCCTGCCGAGGGCGGGCAGAAATACAGCACCCGGGGGTGCGACTCTAGCGAGCATCACCCTTGTGGTTTCAGCGCAGTATTTCACTCAGCTGAGATCAAGCGGTCCGCCTCCCTTCGCCGGTGTCCCCAGGCGCCCACACCAGCGGTGCCCGTGAGCCCTGCGCTCCCCCGGCACTGCTCTCCGAAGCAGATCCGTGACCCTTCCCGAGGGCAGCGGAGGCTCTTCGCCGCCTTTGTCCGGCAGCCAGAGGCACCTGGCGTGCCCGCAAAGGAGCCAGACCCGCCTCCGTTTGCCGGCGACCTTCGGCAGCGCTGCTCCTCCCTCCTCGTCCTTCTGAGCAGCCGTGTCAGTAGCCGACCTCTTCGTTCTGCTATGCAGGCACAAAGTGCACGCTCTGCAGGCCAGGCTGGTGAACCGACAGCAAGCGCGTAGTAAAAAAAAGTTATCGTTTATACCCGAGTGTATCTGGTTTCCAGGAAAAAATCTAGGCTTAATAGTATAGATCAGGTACCTAAGAAAATCTTAACCAAACAGCTCCAAAACAGCATCTTAGCCACTTCATTTATAAGCCAGTACAGTCATGCAGATCTTAAAAAAGATATTATTACAAAGATGAATTAAGCAAGTTATCTCAACAGCACCATTAGCAGCATCAAAACGGAGATCAGGCACACACACTCCAGAAGTATGTTGTAGTACCTTTTAGTGGTATTATGTAACACACATTCCAAACGGGCAGATGCAAAAAGTTTTGGCTCATCATTACAAACCCACCACTTATTACAGACCCCTGAAAAGTCATCTGAAAAGTAAAATAAGATCCCACTTTAGCTTTAGGGTGCTACCCAAATAATCTTTGTAACAGATCTAATTATTTCCTTGAAAACAAAGAAGTCAAACAGCACTTAAGAAATTTCTGTTTCCACATTGTTTCTTAATGTTTAACTTGCCTCCCTCTCCCTCTTCTTTCAGGAGAAATTATTTTTTTCACACTTCAAGACATCCATACTTTTGACATGTCCACAACTGGGTGCCAGAACTGGGTGCTCTGAAGTCCTTTAAGATTTTCTTGTTTGTAATCCAGATCTGTTTCAAACCTAGCCTTCTTGTGGGAACTGACAATGGTCAAATAAGAGATTTTTAGGCTTCAGGCATTAGCTTGAGCCTGTGTGAAATTAAGTCACGTAACTTTCTCACTCTGGTTTAAGAAATCATAAGGAGGAATCCAAACAATCCTTAGAGAAGGAAAACAACTTTTGCAGGTGTTGTCGCCTTGTTTACTTGCAAGAAACAGTCAAGGGGTGTTGTTCCTAACAGTCCAATGATGGTGATGTGTTGGTTTAACAACCAATTAGAGTTTTATTTTTTGGACCTTCTTTGAACTGTCTATAAAAGAAGATCTGAAAGAATAAAACTTGCCCTCTTTTGCAACCAAGGCTAGAGAGTCTGTGTCGTACTTTCGCCGTTAATAATATAGTGCGATACCTTCTATTTATTTTCAGTGGAATTTATTCAAACCACAGTTATTTTATGGAGTTCACAGGAGTCCAAAAAACATTTAGCAAAGTTAAAATGGAAATAAAGTTTAGATAACAGTAATGAAAACAAAGATAACTCAAAAAGAATACAATTATCACTGAATTTAAAAACTACTGCGTACTTTGACTGCAATTTAAACAACAGCTTTAGAAATATATTGCTGTAAGACCATATAGACAAAATTTAGTATTACTGTAAACTTTAATATTTCAATCTCTTAAAACACAAATAAGAGTGTGCATTAACACACAAAGAGTTTTACAGAACAAAGTTATCAGAAAGATTACATCATTAAGTCACATGATGTCAGCAGACATCATCGAGCATCAAAAACTACCACTGGAATAATAAAGTTAAAGAAAAAAATATGCTGTGGTTGAAAAAAAGATGGGCAGAGGAAAAGAGACTGTGTAAATCTAGTCACAACTATCTACATTAAGTATTTAAAAAGCCATCTTTAATAAGATGTTAAATAATATCAACAATTCACAGTACGTTACCCAGCAGTCTATCATAATTTAATGTATCATACTGCATATAGAATATGCATAGTGCATAGAATATGAAAAAAAAAAGAGAAAGTGCCAGAAAAGAAATCAAGGTGCCAAATCACACTACAGATTGTGCTATACTAGTTTGTTCTACTGTTCTGATTTTTGACCTTGAAGAATTGTTATGTAATTATTTGAGTCTTCTATTCGGTTTCCCCTTGTCTCCACCCACAGCTTCCCAAATGCATTCAAGTGCACTTCTAAAAGGATACATCTTTTTGTCCTTTTCTTGTACATTATTCTGTAGCCACATTCTCTGCACCTGATAGGATCTCTTGCCTTTATTTCATTTTCTGTATGACATTCTGATGTTAAGGAGGAAGAAAAAGGAAGTGGGAAAAGAAAAACAGCATTGTTAATGCACAGATAACTTTGAAAAGTTGTAATAGTCAAATTCCTATTTGTGGCAAATAAACATAGCAAGTGTAATGAATCTGTATCAAGAGCAATGACAACAAGATACCGTGAAAAAAAGAAAAAGAGAAAATAAAAAGCACGCCTCACTTACTTTAAGATAAAAGAGAATCTTGCCAAAAATCACCCAAATATTATTGCACAGAGCACATTCCACACTTGATACTAAACTGTCTACTAATGAAAATTTCAGCTCATCCCTAGAAAAGCCAGAGTCTGTTTTCTTAAAGGACAAAATATTACAGTGATTCTTGAAAATCACAAATTTTTAAGTTGTTGATTTATCTATAAGTAAGAGAGAATTTGACTCGTGTACTTCAGCGAAAGCTGAATGCCCTTGCAGCACTCTCTATAAAACACATAAAGACTGAGGAGCTCCACACAGCAACACAAGCTCTAGGGAATTACCTCCACAGCACTGCATTGTACCCCATATATGTGCTACCATCAATGCATAAAGCTTTAAACATCATCAGCATATACACTGCAACTATTTTTATCTATGTACCCTTCACTATAATGACTAAACATTATTCATTATTAAAACACTGAATCTCCAGTAATAAGTAATACAATTTTTTCTTTACAGTTTTCTTTACCTCCACAAATGTAAATCATTGGCTGCTGCTTTGGAGGCTGAACATCCTTTTGTGTATCCATGTTCTAAAACAAAAAATACACAACATTCACATTAGCTTGGGTTTGGTGGGTTTGTTTTTGTTTGTTTGTTTGTTTTTGTTTGTTTTTTTAAAGGCATACACAATCATTTTAATATCTCAAGCTACGGGTAACAGAAGAGGAAATCACTTCCTTAAAAGTAAATTCAAACAAATCCCATTCATATTTGATACACAGGACATGGGTTAATTCAGGTTGAAAGAGACTTCAGAAAGTCATTTAGTTCAACTTCTTAAAAGCAAAGTAATATCA